CCCCCTGGCTCTTGCACAAACGTGCTGCTCTGTTTGGGTGATTCACCATCCTCTTCTCTGGCAGGTTGAGAGGGAGAAGAGAACGAGGAGGGGGACACAGGGCAGAGGAGAGAGAGAAGGAGAAAGGGGGAGAGAGGAAGAAGGAGAGAGAAGGAAAGAGAGGGTGAGAGGGAGGAACTAGATGAGCCTATGTCTCTGGGGTTTTTCAGACAAAGCTATTATCAAAATGCCAACCAGCTCCTGCCTGGCTCATTTGCATATTCCATGCTGTGCTCTTTGAAGCAGGATGAATATGCATGAGGGCTGGGGCAGGGCGTGGAGCTGCTGAGCTTCGGGCTGAGGTGGCTCCTTCTCACCTAAAAGAAAGGCACTAACGGGAAGGCAGGCACCTGCAGGTCTGCAGCGGCCCCCGCCCTCGCCAGTGACGGGAGGAGGAGGGCAAAGCTCAGGCCCAGACAGAGCTCCTAGCGCCCATTCTCTCCTCCTCCTCTCCCCGAGGACATGAACCCTCAGGCGCCATCAAGACCAGGGGGGTCTCTCCTCCCTGCGGATGCCAATCAGGGCGGCTGCGGGGCCAGGAGAGCCACCGGCCTGCATCCCAGGGAATCAGGCCACCTCTGCCCTTTCCTGCCTCTGCTGCCAGGGAAGCCGGGCACCGGCGCGCTCCCTGCTGCTCGCTGGCGAGGCCCCTAGGACACAGCAGGTGCTCAAAATGGCCCCGGGATGCCCTCGCTGACGCCCGTGGGACCCGTGCACATTCACCCCGAGTGACCTGCAGGGTGACGCCTTCCCCTGGCCGGCCCGTCTCTCCCTCCCTGGCCGCGAGCTGAAGGCGGGCATCCGACTTACCCCCCAAACTCCGGGGCCACACCCCCTTCCTCTGGGCTTTCTCTCTGAGATGCCAAGGCTGCCTCCCATCCCGAAACGGAAAAACGAAGACGGAATGTGGGAAATGGCTGGGCCGCCCCGGCCCGGCTCTCGGCTCTGCCCCAGCGTAGGCTCCGCGGTGAAGATGCCGCCACCGGGACTAGGTTGGGCTTAGCTGCCAGCACCCACATCCGGACCTTTCAGGGATGGGCACACACCCCGTGAAATAGCCCGTGAGCCAGTCCCTCCTGCCTCGCCCTCTGTCCTCCTTGCTGAGCCGTGTAAACAAGACTGCCTGGGTCTGAAGCTTCCTCCGTCCTTGGGGAGCAGCTGGGGGGAGCGAAGTGGGTTCACCTGTGACTCCCGCTGCCTGTGCTTCCCCAGGTGTGGTCCCTACGAGTCAGGGCTCCGGCAACACCGGAAACCTAGGCCAGTGGTCGGCAAACTCATCAGTCCACAGAGCCAAATATCAACAGTATGGCGATTGAAAATTCTTTTTTTTTTTTAAATATATTTTATTGATTTTTTTTTTAGAGAGAGAGAGAAAGGAGAGGGATAGGAGCTAGAAACATCGATGGGAGAGAAATATCGACCAGCTGCCTCCTGCACACCCCGTATTGGGGATGTGCCCGCAACCAAGGTACATGCCCTTGATTGGAATCGAACCCGGGACCCTTGGGTCCGCAGGCCGATGCTCTATCCGCTGAGCCAAACTGGTTTCGGCTGAAATGTCTTTGGAGAGCCACATTTTAAACTTAAACTTCTTCTAAAGCCACTTCCTCAAAATAGACTCGCCCAGGCCGTGGTATTTTGTGGAAGAGCCACACTCAAGGGGCCAAAGAGCCGCATGTGGCTCTCGTGAGCCGTGGTTTGCCGACCACTGACCTAGGGCAAAGCTCCTCCGAAACATAATGCAAATACCAACCGCCCGCGGGCAGGGAACGCCAGGGAGATGGCACCTCTCGCCTGGCAGGGTGGCCCCATCATCAGCAAACAGGCAGGGACGAGTGTCGGACCCTCAGTCCCTGCCGGTGGGGACGGAAGCCGTACAGCCACGACGGAAAGCAGTCTGGCGACGCCTCAGAAAATTACGACTACAGCTACCACACGGCCCAGCAACCCCACGCCTGGGTAGGAATCCGAGACACTTGAGTCACATGCCCGCAAAGATACATGCACCCGCGTTCCTTGCAGCACTGTTCACGGTGGCCCAGACACGGGGACCGCCAGAGTGTCCTGCCACCGAGGACCGGGGAAGGAAGACGTGGTCCATACACACCGTGGAAGGCTCCTCGGCCACAAGAACGCATGACGTAGCGCCGTTTGCCACCACGTGGATGGACCCGGAGAACGTTATGCTTGTGACGTAAGGCAGCCAGGAAAAGCTCAGAGCCATGTGTGGGACATGGAACGGACACCCGTGAACACAGACAGCAGTGAGGTGGATGCCAGGGGAAGGGGGTCCCAATATAAGAAGTTTAGACTCTGGGGGGAGGGCACACGGTGCTACATACAGATCTTGTCCCATAGAAACCCACCTCGGAAACCTGTGTGTGCATGTTGCCAATGGGACCCCAATGCAGTTCATACATAAGTTTAAATAAAAGTTGAAAACAACAACAATGGTCCGAGGGTTTGTGACAATGCAGTTCTGGCTTAGCCAGTGGGGGCAGCTGAGGTTTTGAGTTTTTCTTTAAAAAAAAAACAACAACAACAACAACAACATATTTTATTGATCTTTTACAGAGAGAAAGGGAGAGAGAGAGAGAATGAGAGAGAATCATGGATCAGCTGCCTCCTGCACACCTCCTACTGGGGATGTGCCCACAGCCAAGGTATCTGCCCTTGACTGGAATCGAACCTGGGACCCTTGAGTCCACAGGCCAATGCTCGATCCACTGAGCCAAACCATTCAGGCCTGGTTTTGAGTTTCTAACAAGTTCCGGATGCTGTCCGTGCTGCTGACCTGGGCGCCGCACCCTCATCAGCCAAAACAGAGGGAGGGGCAATGCAAAGCCCGAGACCCTGATTGAATATCCCCTCCCCATGCCTGCATGGAGGAAAGGGAAACCGGGGAGCCCCTGCCCCCCACATCCTCATAGACACACACCCTCCAGGAGTGCCCCCCTGACCCGGAGATTGCTCTGCCGCCAGCAGCCTGGAAGAGCTGCCTCCGCTGCTCCAGGCACCTGCTGGCGGGGTGAACTGGGGAGGCAGCAGCTGACCCAGATCTGACAGATCCAACGCAGTCTGGGGGACTGGGGAAGTGAGCGTGTCTCCCCCATCCCCCACCCCCAATTCTGCTCCTGGTGCAAACCCCACCGCTGCGGGGTTAGGTCCCGCATCCTTAGCCACAGCGCCAAGTTAGGCAGAACGGAAGCCGCCCTTTTGGCAAAGCCTGGTGCTCACATCCACCTGCCGTCTCCCGAGGCCTTGCACGGGCACCTGTCTGCTGCCGAGGCAGCCGGGGCTCCATCTACACACGGTCTGCTCCGCGCAGAGGCCCGAGTCAGCGCTGCAGGCGTGGGGGGCAGCTCCCCTGGGGGGGGGTGAGCCCCCTCACCCCGGGGAGCCCGCTGCTGCTGCTCCCCCCGGGGAAGGGGAGGCACCGAGTCTGGCTGCTATTGTCCCTACGCGGACCCCTGGCCTCCTGTGGAGGTGCCAGGGTGACCAAGGACAGATTTCCACGCGGCACCTTTCATTCCACAAACTCCGAGCTGCTCAGGGGCGGGAGTCTAATTGGACGGGACGGAGGGCCGGTCTGGCTCCGCTTGCAAAACCCTCTGCCTCGCAGCGTCCGGACCCCTGAGCGCGGCAGCGCTGCCCGTGGCCACACGGGGGCGCCGTGACGCGCGGTGCCGGCGGCAGGCGCTGGGCCGGGGCTTGATAAAAGTCTGTGTTTAAGACGGGGCTGGGGAAACCCGCAGGTTAATATCATTTCGGCCAGAAGATGGGAGGCAAGAGAGTTCTGGTGGTAACACCAAGCCGCGAATCAGCATTCACCTACCGGTCAAGCAGGGCTGGTGGTTGTGCCCCCCAAGGACGGAGCCAGCGCGTAGCGGGCACAGCTGCTGGGCCTCTCGGTTTGCAGGCAGGGCTGGGCATGCACGGTCCTCGCAGTGCTTCCCGGGGACGGTCAGCCGAAATCCCCTCCAACGGCTCAGCAGAGCTGCCTCCCTCCGGCCGAGCCTCCAGGTGCCTGGGCAGGGGCTGCCGGCTCCCTCCCGGAGCCCATGGGCGGTCTCCGCAGAGGTGCCCAGCGCCTGACAGCGCTCCGAGCCCCCTTCCCCTCTGCTAACCTCCAGCCTCCCCCTCCTCCCACAGCCTCCCGCCGGAAGTGCCCGCCACCCGCCCTGCAGCGCCCTCTGCAGCGCAGGCCTGAGGGCACGTGGACCGCCCCTCCTTGGTCTGGACCAGGTGCAGCCCATCCATCCCAACCTCAGCTGCACCTGCCCCCGGCCCTGACCCCACCCCCCGGAGCCTGACCCCGGCCCTGACCCCCTCCCCGCCGCACCTGCCCCCGGGCCCTGATTCCCCCCTGCACCTGCCCCCGGGCCCTGATTCCCCCCCCCGCACCTGCCCCGGGGCCCTGACTCCCCCCCCTGCACCTGCCCCAGGGCCCTGATTCCCCCCCCCCGCACCTGCCCCCGGGCCCTGACCCCCCCCCTGCACCTGCCCCCGGGCCCTGCCCCGGGCCTGAGCCCCTGCAGCGGCCCACGCGGCTGCTCATCCTTTCTCCGGAGGGTTTGCCACGGGGCCCGCTGGACATCACACTCCAGAGCGCGTGGAGGATATTAATTAAATGAAGGTTTATTTCAAAATCAGTGTTAAAGTGTAAGCTGCGTTTGAGGGCCAAGGCGGGCTACATACATGAGCGGTGAGCGCGGCCGCCTCCCTCCCCCGGACCCGGGCGGGAGCGGGCAGCGGGCAGCGCCCGGCCGCCCCGTGGCATGCACCCCCGCGGTTACTGGGACTGGGAGCCCGCGCCGGCCCGTGTCCTATCCGGGTTAAGCTCTACACGTTCAAACACACGCCGGGGTCACGTGGTGTCATGCGGTCCCTGGGATGGAGTGACTCTGAACTCCGTGACTTCGGCGGCGGTGGCCGCGGCGAGGCTGCTCCCAAGGGCAAGGTTAGGTGGGACAGAGCACTGGAGAGAGAGCGGAGAGGGCAGAGGTCAGAGCACAGTGCGGGGGGGTGGGGGGGGCGGGGGGGCGGGGGGGGCGGGACCAGCTCCCCACCAGCATCCCGATGGGAGCCGGTGGTTTGATGCCTGGATTCAAACCCTCAGTTCTGCCGCCTTAGGGAGAATTTCCAGTTCTTACCTCCCTACTGGCCTCTTCCTGTGGACAATAGGCTGTGCCTGTGCCTGTGCCCGCCCCAGGGGGCTGCTCGGAGGCGGGTAGAAGGCGCTCAGTAAATGTTAATTTGTTTTATGAATTCCCTGACATTTCAGTGGGTCACGTGTGTGTGTTGGGGGGGGGGGGTCTAGCCTCCAGGTTCCCAGACTTCCAGGCCCGTTTCCATCAACCTCCTCTGAACACGTCCTCTGAGAGACGTGCTGCTGTTTTCAGACCTTTAAGAGTCAGAAGTGCTGCCGAAACCAGTCTGGCTCAGTAGATAGAGCGTCGGCCTATGGACTCAAGGGTCTCCGGGTTCGATTCCGGTCAAGGGCATGTACCTTAGTTGCGGGCACATCCCCAGAAGGGGATGTGCAAGAGGCAGCCGATCGATGATTCTCTCTCATCGATGTCTCTAACTCTCTATCCCTCTCTCTTCCTCTCGGTAAAAAAAATCAATAAAATATATATATTTTTGAAAAGTCAGAAGTGCTTCCCAGTGTTTGGCTTCTGTTCCTCCCGCAGAAACGCCAGGCATCTCCCTGGTCCTGACGGACAGGAGACGCATCAGAGCTTCCTGACGGAGCTGCACATGCCTCTGGACACCACACCGAGCGGTGTGCACGGAGGGCTCACACCGAGACGCAGAGGCCTTGGCCGTGGATGTCGCCAATGGGCTGAAGACTTGTGTCCCCAAGATTCGTGTGCTGAGGCCCTAACCTCCCTGGACAGCAGTTTTGGGAGATGGAAACTATTCATCAATCGTATCCTCAGGCTCTGTTTTTCCCGAGTAAGAGCCCAGCCCCGCACGAGGGCACAGTGAGCCTTTTGTTGGTGTGGCTGCTCCTCTTGTTCAGTCATCTGGTGACTCGGAGAGCTGGCAGCTCCTTCTCAGGCCTCCAAGCAACACCCCCAGGCGACACCCCACGACGGGAGGCCTCAACTGTCCGCTCGCTGCCCGGGCCCTGCCTAGCCTTCAGCCGGAGTCAAGGGAGGGGTGCGGGAGGATCTCTGCTCCCCAGAGCTGGGCTGCTCTGACCTTTTTTTTTTTTTTTTTTAATTGATTTCAGAGAAGAAGGGAAAGGGAGAGAGAGATAGAAATGTCAATGATGAGAGAGAGATCGGCTGCCTCCTGTCTGCTTCCTATTGGGGATCGAGCCTATTGGGGATGTGCCCTGACTTGGTTCCTAGATTGACACTCAACCACCGAGCCACACGGGCCGGGCCTCTTACCTTTTAGAATGTAGTCCGTTAGCAAAGTGGGCACCTTTTCGTTATCCTCCTTCATGGCGAAGAGAACTGGGGAAGGAGAGGGGCAGGTGAGCAAAGGTCCCTTCGAGGCGTGAATCTCGCTCGCTTCCGGGGCCAAACAACCCACCCACCCAGAGAGAGCAGAGTGAGAAACAATTCAGGGGAGCCAGACCTTTGTGGAGCATTGAGCAAAAGTCTAGAAGCTTCTGTCCAGCGTCAGCGTTCCGCATGGTGGTGGTGCAGAGCTACCAAGAGGCAGAGGCCTATCGTGGCTTTTATTTCCTTTATCTCTTACTTTTTTTAAATTTTTTTTTATTTGCTGGTCTATAACTTCCACATCATCTCCTAAGTATATCACTTTAATAATCATACAAAAAATAAATAAATACTTTTTTTTTTTAAAAAGAATCCGTTTTCTGGTGCAGTCAACCTAAATGTTAGAATAGCAGTTGTCACATCGCTGAGTAACCGATAACACTGTCTCTAAAGACATTCTATTTAAATATTAATAGAAAATTCCCTCACCTCCAATTTATTAATAGCAAATAAATCCCACCCCACAAATCTCTGTTTTCTGTTGTGCCCAGCAGGGCACTAGAATTGGTGGAAATGCAAGCGACGCCTGGACCCTCAAGGGCCTGACTTAGGACTTCCTGTTGAAACAGGACACGACTTCACGTGTGCAGCAAATGGGGATGTTCTTCAAGTCTAAAGGCTTCTGATCCAAGTCCCTAACGTGGCTTTTTCTGTTGTTAAACTGGGTGGCAATGTGGCAGGCGGTCAGACAGACAGGAGCAGGGCGAGGCCGACAGGCCAGGTACAGAGGTCACCAGGGCGGGAGGCCCCGGGTGCCTAGCAACGGGCAAAACCGGGGAAGCAGCATCCTCACCCTCAGGGTGACCTTTCCTCCCCTGGCATGTGGCTAGTCCTGTGGGCCAGACCCCCTTGAGGGGAAGCAAATAAGCCACCAGGACAAGGAGGTTCTGACCGTCAGACACATCCAGGCCCAGAAAGCAGCAGAGCCAGACAAGCAATGCAGCGACTGACCTAAGGACCCGATGTTCCCACCGATCAGTGAAAGGACACACCTGGGGAGCTGAGGACTGTTCTTTTGGGACCCTCCCCTGGGACCTCCCCTGAAATCCCTCGGAGTGAGGAGCCAGCCTCTCTGCTCGGGGGACATTGACTCGCCTCTCCCACCCCTCCTCCCCGCCTCTGCCCCCAGGGGCCTCCCCTTCACCCCTCCCTCCCTCCTGAGCTCCAGCGGCCCTTCTTTCGCCTCCCACGTGTTTCCTGAGCCCATTCCCTCCACAGCTCACTTCTGCCTTGGTAACGTTCTAAATACACTTTCTCTTACAGTTTGAGCCTCGTCTCTGAATTCTTTCCTACTGAGCGGGACGCAAGTGCGGAGGCTGCTGAACCCGGGTCCAGCCTGACCCACCGGGCTAACACCTGTTCTCGCTGCCAAAGCCTCTCCTCGTGTTCATCGTCCATATTGCAGAAGCCGGCTTTGTGGAAGGCCCTTCAAGAAAGTAGCTGGATCGTGTTTATCGTCCCAAGAAATGGTGGGGGGGGGGGGGCGAGGGGCTGGACGTCTACCAACCGATTCCTTAAATAAACTCCATCCCATGTAGACCTTATGAGAAAGGAGAGAGCTCTGTGGGTACAGGACACATCCTTAACAGTGAAGGGAGGAGGCCACAGAACGTTCTGTATTAACTTTTAAACAAATGTAACACTCATAGAAATGTCTGGAAGAAGGTGCAGGAAACTGTTCAAAGTGGTTCTCTCCGGCGTGAGGCCTTGGGGGAAACTCCTTCCTATGTGATATGGCACAGTGCCTGGCTTTCTCCAGGGAGCACGTGTCACTTTTTGCACACGGAGAGGAGAATGAAGATCAGCCGGCACCGGCCCCGGCACGGCAGGAGGCAGCCCTGACGGCAGAGGCACCCGTCCAGCTCCCTGTCCTTGCTCTCCGCAGATTTCCTTGCCTCGTTTCAAATCGGGGTCATGCAGGCTGATTCCAGAAACCAGGGGTGGGTGCAGAACCCAGCTGGCGGTGGCAGGAGTCGCAGCCCGAGATCCTGCTGGTGTTGGTTTCTTCAGTTGTGTTTCTTGTGTGTGTGTTTAGACGTGTCCTCATGGCCACGGGATAGGCCGGGGATTCTCTGCATCTGAACTTGGGCAGGCTAGACGCTGCACCAAGGAGGCAGCCATAAAAATACCTGTACAGGCCTAGCCGATTTGGCTCAGTGGATAGAGTGTCAGCTTGCAGACTGAAAGGTCCCCGGGTTCGATTCCGGTCAAGGGCATGTGCCTTGGTTGCGGGGCCCATCCCCAGTGGGGGTTGTGCAGGAGGCGGCTGACCGATGTTTCTCTCTCATCGATGTTTCTAGCTCTCTATTCCTCCCCCTTCCTCTCTGTTGAAAATCAATTAAATATATATTTTTAAAAAATACTAGTACAGTAAGTGCACTCCATCAATATGGGTCTAGGTTGGTTTCCAAAATCCAAAATTTATGATGTGCTCAGTCCCCAGAGCTGGTCTTTGGGAGTAAGGTAAAGAGGAGATATTGTTTGCAAATCCGTACAAAGATTTGGCAAAATAATAATAATAATAGAGCTTTGGTAACCTACCAAATTGGCATTCAGAAAAGATGACAGGTTTTTTTTTTTTTCCTTTTCAAAAGAGTAAAATATTGGAATGTATATCCACATGATAGAAGAGAACCATTTTTAAAATGTTCACCAAATGTTAACGGGTGTGAATAAAATCGAGCTACAAAATTTTACAGCCAGTGTAATCCCAACCCCATGAAAAAGACATTAACTATTTATGGCTGAAAAACACCAACGAGGTAACCACAGTCCGGGGATCAATGTATTCTTTCCTTCCCTTTGTTCACCTTGCCGGAATATCCTAAACGAGCGATCTGCTGTAGCGATAACCTTTTCCGTGAACGTAAAAAACGCAAACCGGCCCACGGTTTCTTAATCAGAACGGAAGGATTCCCGTCTGCGGGAATGAGCAGCTCTTCCTGATCGAGTTCTTTACACAGATCAGCCGTCATCATCTGTCCAATTTATTTTCCAGGCGCTTACTGCTTGTGAAAACACAGACACCTATAAATGTCAGCCCGTCTCTATCTGCTCCCTTTAAAAATATATATATATATCTTAGTGCCTGTTTATGCAAATGAAGGCGTTCAAAATGAGCCCAGAGGAAGCCAATGCCTTTGGAATTTACGATTCCGGATTCCCCAGGACGCAGCTGCTCTTGATGTCAGGAAGGTTTCTCTGTACCAGAACCTGCCTTGGTTTTCCAAACGGATAGAAACGAGGACGGTCGGTCCCCTGTAGCCCTGGGCCCCGCAGGCAGGCGTCTCCCTCAGCCGGACAGAGGAAGGCCTCTGTCCATCCCCTGGGGCCCGGATCGCCCTGCGGCTGGCCAGTCCCTCCGGCAGAGATGCAGCAGGCTGGGCGGCCCGACTAGTGTGTCACTCAAGCAGTGCGCGGTTACCAGGGAGACCGACTCCTGATTCACTGAGCCTGTCACGTCTCAGCCTCTTCCTACCAGAATCAAGCTGACGGATGGCCGACAGCACGCGGCCCGGCCCTGCGGGGGTTGTCGTGTTGGATGTACATAAAGACGTGTGGCCTCCAAAAGGCTCTTGACCCCCTTTCCCCGCAGGCTCGGGGTGTGTGTTACTATTTTGACAGTCGAACCAACGTGGAGGGAAGCCACACTCTTCTTTCCCATCAGCCAGCCAGCCAGCCAGCCCCGAGGACTGCACTCCCTGCTGGGTGGGGGGCAGGGCCAGCCGCATCCTCCAGTTGCAGAGGAGAAAGGGGTAACAAGGCAGAGGATGCAAAACCTGGGGACTGCTGGGTGACCAGAAAGGCTGGGCACACCAATCCACCCACCACCCCCCACCCCCCACCCCCCACCCCGCCCCAACCTCTTTCCCCAGCTCATTTCTTCTCCTGGCAAATCCAGGCCCTTCCAGACACCGGGGATGAGACCAGACAGCCCTGGGCATCGCCCCAGAGCACACGGCGATCTCACCCCTGCTTCGGGGCTGGGGGGGGCGGGCGTGACCCAGAGCACCGTCTGGCCGTCTAACGCCCGTCAGGGAAATCTGGGGCCTGAGGCACCAGGTCTGGCTCCTGGGGAGGGATGCGGAAAAGCCAGTGTTGACCCCGCTGGGAAGGGGGGCTACTCACTGTTGGTGAGCATCTGCAGGTCTTCCACGGATGGAGGGGAGGCCTTCCGCTCGTAGGGGATGACCGTGTTCAGATACTAGGAGACAAACGCACGCACTGGAGCCGGGGCCCTCTGGGGGGAGCTGTGCGAGGCCACCCGCGGGGGGGGGGGGGACGGGCTTTCCTCTAAGGAACGCGCTCCGTCAAATGGCGGGGTCTCCACGGCACCCGTGTGGTTCACACACCCGTGTCCCAGGACCTTCTGTCTGTGGGGAGTGTCTCTTTAAAACTAAGACGTGGCCCTATCCACCAGGAAAAAAAATGTCCCTCCGTTCCAACGTGGGCATTCCCCCGGGATGAGGCACTCTGGCTATTTAAAAGTCCCGGCGAGAAGTTTCTCGTCGTCGGGGATGGGAGCACAGAGAGGGGCATTGTGTCCTCGTACCCTTTGCCATCTGAGAAGGAATGGCTTCTCTTTTGTCCAAGTGACAGGCGAGAGAACCTCAGCCGCACCCTCCGTCTGAGAGTGGGATGTGCGCCCTCTGCTGGGCGTGAGGCGCTTCTACAACAAAATCATCCTGGGGATCACCCAGGGGGTATCCTGCGCTGGGTGGGGAGGTGAAGGGCCCTCGGGGAGCCGGGCACAGTGAGTGAGACCCCCCGCCCCAGACCCAAAGTCAGAGGCCTCTGTGGTAGTCGTGGCTGTGCCACGTGGCTCTCCCACACACGGGCCGCGTGGCCTTGGGGGAATCTTGCCTCATCTCTCTGGGCCTCAGTTCTCACCCAGAGAAACGAGGGGACCTAGTTAATGTCCCCCCCAAATCTCTTCCCAAAGTGTGTCCTAGAATTCTAACACGGACCCAGCTAAAGGTATGTGTGGGACACACCCAACGTGCGCGCACTTACTCCACAAGCTCAGACTCGTCCGTTTTCACACGGGCATCTCTCTCAGATGGTGCACAACGTGAGGGTGGGGAGGGGGGAGGGGCAGGACTCGCTCATCTTGGCACCTGAGGGCCTAGCAACAGAGCTCGGCACATACTAGGTCTGCAGCAGAAGTTTCGAGCACTGTCTACAAGTAACTAGCAATGCTGCTCAGGCACACGGCCCACTCAATGGACCAGCCCGGAGTGGACGGCTAAAGGCTCAGATGGGGGGAGGGGGGTAAGATGGACCGCTGGCAGCCCAAATGATACACTTATCCATCATCAAATGCATTTCCCTTTTCATGCATTTTGTTCTTAAAATAAGCTGACTTGTAGGGCTGCACGCAGGGTCCACTTTTAAGTTTTCTCCACGTCCTGGAGCTCAGGGAACTGTTCGCCTTTACAAAGAAAGACACGTCCTTCCTCCTCCAGAGGGAAGAAGTGGGGGATGATCCCCTTGGGCCCCCACTCCCCTCTCTGCTGGGAGGCCACGTGGCAGGAGTGAGGGAGGAGAGCGGGACCAGGGGGCCAGCGGTACCTGCTTGTCGGTCCCCGAGGAGCCGAAGGTCTGGCGGATGCTGCTCTGCAGGATGCTGGATATGCCCTCCATGCTGAAGCGCTGGGGAGAAGAGACCGAGAAGAGGGGGTGCTTCCTGCTCCACGCCACACCCCTCCCCCAACCCCTCCTTCTGGGGCTTGTGTCCTCTCTCAGCCACGTAGACCCCTCAGCTGCAACCCTGTCCAGGTCACTGTCCAGAGCGCTGAGACTAGAAAGTGTAAGACCTGGGCTGAGAGATAGGCCAGCCTGGAAACCTGAGCTTTGGGAGAATAAATACCGTGGAAGACTCTTATCTCAACCAGTCACCCCCCAGGTTTGAGGCACAGTGTACAATGAAGCAGTACAGTGAAACGTGGACAGATGATGAGGCAAATGTCGTAGGGAGGACAACAAAATGCCCAGCCACTGAGAAGAGCAGATGGCCCGGCCGGTATGACTCTGTGGTCAAGCATCGACCTATGAACCAGGAGGTCAGGGTTCGATTCCCGGTGAGGACTCATGCCTGGGTTGTGGACTCGATCCCCAGTATGGAGCATGCAGGAGGCAGCCAATCAATTATATTCATTCATTCTCCCTCTCCCTCTCCCTCTCCCTCTCCATCTCCCTCTCCCTTCATTTCGTATCAAATTTTCTTTTAAAGAGAGAGAAGGGCCAATGTCAAGCAGCTGCCCTTGTCCGAGATGCTTTTTCCATGCACACAGTGAGGCCGTGGACAGAGCCCAGGCAAAGGCTTCTGAGGAGCCGCCCTGGCTGAGCTGCTGAGCTGCCCTGGCTCGGAGCCTCTGCTCTGAAGAATCCTGTCCGTGTACCAACGAATCAGAAACACCCTACCCACATCCTAGCGAGGTGAGTCAGGACTCTGCGCTCAGCAAGAAAGGGGGTTGTGACCCAGAGTCCTGGGGTTCCACTTCTCCAGCTCCAAATGCCCTCACCCCACTTTCTGAGGTCTTGACTAAGAGAACATATTGGGTGATTTTCTCATGTTTACACCTTGTCTCCTCCAGTTAGACCTGAGTCCTCTGGGGCAGGGGAGGGGAGGGCACAGCTCTCTCCCTTTTCATCCCTCCCTTCTCCTCCCTTCTACCCTCCCACCCACCATCTTCCAGGGTCCCTCCCCGTCAGCCACTGCTCAGGAGAAGTGTGTTCTTGTCCGCTGCAGGGTTGGTACGGGACCTGGAGTGCCGGGTTCGAGGGGGGCGCACAGGCTTCGGCCGGGTGCTCGCTCACATACCTTGAGGGGCATCTGGCTGCCCTTGTCCACGCGGCCGCTCTGCAGGCTCAGGCCTTTCTCTTTCCGCCTCTTCTTCATCAGCTCTCGCTGCTCCTTCTGCTTGTTCTGCACCTCGATGAGCACCGTGATGAAGGAGTTCTTCACTTCCTTCTCGAATTCTAGCTCATCCCGGCGGGCCAGCTGCTGCACCAGCTCCTCCGAGAAGTCGCGGATGGCGCCCTCCACCTGGTCCAGCAGTTCCGTCAGCTCGGACCCGGACATGTGCCTCAGGCCTGTGGGGAGACGCCCACGGGTGGCACCTGCGGCCGAGCCTGAGCCGCTGCAGAGGCTCCGGGGCCGCTGGCACTCCAGGGGGGACGGCCCCTCGAGGGAAGACCCCTCCCCATTCTGCAAAAGGCCAGGAAAGACCTTCACAATTTAGGGGTGTGCAGGGGGGGGGGACAGTATACTGTCTGCAGAAGAGACAGCACTAGTGGGAGAACAAAGGGGGAAGAAGAAAAAGCCCCCAAGGAAGCCAAAGTGTGTGGACAGCCCTGGCTAGTTTGGCTCAGTGGATAGAGGGTCAGCCTGGGAATAAAGGGTCCCAGGTTCGATTCCGGTCAGGGGCACATGTCTGGGTTGCTGGCCTCCTGCACACACCAGTAGGGAGTGTGCAGGAGGCAGCCAATCAGTGATTCTCTTTCATCGGTGATGTTTCTATTTCTCTCTCCCTCTCGCTTCCTCTCTAAAAATCAATTATATATATATATATATATATATATATATATATATATATTTTTTTTTTTTTTTTTTTTTTTTTTAAAGTGTGTGGACAGACAACGTGGCTTCTTGATCCCTTGTTCTGTCTTCCAAATTGTCCTGTTTCTACAATATTCCTCATGTGAAATGGGTCAAGGATGGAACGGGAGGGAGCATAAAGAGGAGGTTTCAGGCCCGGCCAGTCTGGCTCAGTGGTTGAGCATCGACCTATGAACCAGAAGGTCCCAGTTTGATTCCCGGTCAGGGTACATGCCTGGGTTGCAGGCTCAATCCCCAGTGTGGGACGTGCAGGAGGCAGCTGATCAATAATTCTCATCATTGTTGTTTCTATCTCTCTCTCCCTCTCCCTTCCCTCTCTGAAATCAATTAAAATATTTTTAAACAAAAAAAAAGGGGGGGGGTGAGGGGGAGACTTGGCATTGGTGCTGCAGAGCAATAGCAGTGGTGCTGATTCCCAGGAGCTGGTTAAGCCGACCACGAGATTCACAGGCCCTCCGTCGCCCACTCTCACCTGCATTCAAAAGTGGGGACAGGAGCGGAGCCGGGCTACCTGGAGTGGGAAGGGAACCCTGACGAGCGGGAGCAGAGTGGGCTGCTATGGCAGGTAACATTCTTACATTTAATATCGTTTTTCTTGCCCTGACCGGTTTGGCTCAGTGGCTAGAGCGTCGGCCTATTTATTGAAGGGTCCCAGGTTCGATGCCTACTCAAGAACAGAACTGTTTCACTCTCTGCTTCTGGGGAAAGCTTTTCTGGGCGGAAAGGAGATTTCGTTTTTAATTCTATTTTTGCAACCGTGGCCCACGTGAGCAAGTGGCTTACCCTCTCAGAATGCTCAGCTCAGTGCTGGGGCTGGGGTGGGGAGGAAGGGACATTATTGTAGAACACCTTAGACTAAGGAAGCACGTAGGGAAGCACTCCCAAAACATGAGCTGTCGTGGCTACCACCTTTGTTGGGGGTTTCTCGTTGGCTACGCCATGTTCTTTGCTCAGTTTTGATTTTGCTCAGCTACCTTTTCATTTCCAGAAAGTGCTACCTTCTCCCCTGGTGCCCAGTAAGAAGGAGGTTGCCAACTCCCTGGATGTGAGGGTCTAGTAGCTACAGGGAGGCACGTGCCCAGCGCCGGGCCCCGGACAGGGGTCCGTCCTCGGTGAGCTTCCCCCGCCTCCCCCCCCCCCCGGCCCTCACCTTCATAGGACCAGTTGTTGTTGAAGGTCTGGGTCAAGGCCTGCATCTCCTGCAGGAGCACCGAGTCCGCCTGGGAGGACGTTTCGGCCCCGTCCTCCTCCTCCAGGGCCTCCTCCTCCTCCTCGGGGTCCGGGGAGTTCTGCATCATTTCTTCGATCTCCTCGATGACCTGCGGGGAGGCCCACAGGAGACTGAGTGACCCTGGCCTCTGCCGGGGGGACATTCTGGCTGGAATGTGGGTCAGGGAAGGACCTGTCCAACTTGCTGTCTGTAAAAATCCCTAAAGCAGTGCTGTCACTTAATGCGTATTAAATACGAACAATAATAGGCCTGACCAACGGCTTGCACACACTCCTTCCTTTAATGCAAAGCTTCTCCCAAGAACAGCCCTCGGGTGAGTGCTTTATTGGAAATTCTCGGCGCTTCCCGGGAAGGAGGCTGATGAGCACTTTGCGTCTGAGGGGGAGAATGTTTCAGCTGCCGATGTCAACACGAAACCCGGCCCCTCACTGTCACAGTGCCTGTGGCTGGAAAAACACACACAGAAACACAGCGTTCCCAGAGCAGCTCAGAATGCGGAAAACTTCTTCACGCGGAAGGAAACGGCTGCTTCTCCAGGTTGTGGACAGGAGCGAAGCCTGCCTGGCAACAAGCGAACACAAAGCTCCTAAAGGAATCACAGGGTGTGCAGGGAGCAAAGAGCAGAAAAGAGGTAAGACCTACAGCTCTGGCTGAAACCGGTTTGGCTCAGTGGATGGAGCGTCGGCCTGCGGACTGAAGGGTCCCAGGTTTGATTCCAGTCAATGGCATGTACCTTGGTTGCAGGCACATACCCAGTGGGGGGGGTGGGGGGTGCAGGAGGCAGCTGGTTGATGTTTCTCTCTCAATGATGTTTCTAACTCTCTACCCCTCTCCTTTCCTCTCTGTAAAAAAAAAAATCAATAAAATATATATTTTTTAAAATCCAGCTCTGACCTAGCCTGGGGAGGGACAGCTCCCGGAAGGGACAGTGATGTTCAATGGAGCCAAAAGGAATGGGGTGAGCGTCTCTGTACATTAATCATTTGCACATAAAGAAAGCGGATAAGCAAGGACTACTTCCGGAAGGACCCCACAGATGAGCCCGGTCGCCACAGTGACCTGGTTTCTGCATCTGCCCGTTCGCGATGCTGTGACGGGCTCTGGCTCTGAGGCCGCTGGGCTGGGGTCTGCATGTGAGGCTGGACCGAAGCAAGGAAGACATGCCGTCCCCTCCTTTAGAATAATGGCATTTTAGTCCCAAACCTCCCCATCTGTACGAATACATTCAGGCCACACCCCATCTGTGACTACTGAGAGCCACTCACGGGATGCAACCAATGACACGAGCCCCTTTAGAATGACGCAGCTGAGTTTCTCTCGATGTCAGAGCAGGTGTCATCCAACTTCTGAAATTCACAAGAATTCACTGGTGGCGCCTGTGTTTTTCATCTGGTTCCCTCAACCTCTTGATCCTTACCTCGTCACATCCCGCCTTTGACCACAGACACAAAGGAATTCCTTTTATGGAAAAGCTCTTTCTGGCATCCACGGCTCCCGATGGAGGCTTTTCTGAATTATTTTGTGGTGGGGGGGGAAACGAGCATGGGGCCTGCTCACAGCAGCCATCCCTAAGTATTTACTGAAAGGTTCAATAAAGAAGCCAGAGAGCCAACATCATTCTCCTTCAGGAATAAATTATTCAAGCCAAAATGCAATCGACTCCATCTATCTTTTTTCTTTTTTTGCAAACAAAGAGACACAAGTGTCTCTAAGACGCACGCCTCTTGGAAGGCTCCGCATCCTCTGTGTTCTGTGAAATAGGAGAAAAACAGCCATCGCACAGAGGCCTCACCCCCCACTTCCGTTTTTGGAAGGACCGGTATTTGGGGCCCACGTTTCAGTGTCTGGACTCCAAGCACGCGAATTACAATAAGAGTTTTAGCAGGAAGTAGAGTCAGTCAACACTGGGCCTGCCTCTGACTGTTACCCAATACGGAGCCCACCCAACCCGAGTGTCTGGAATTATGTTCCTATTCACAGCAGGTGGGTAAACTGAGGCATAAGGAGAAATGAAATCCTTTCTGAAAGACACTCCAAGTCATCAACGCAGACACCCCAAGATCATACATTTTTCTTCTGCCTTAAATGGATGTGACAAGTATATTATCTTAAATTTTTTCGTCATTAAAAAAAAAAATTCCTGCCTGGCTGGCATGGTTCAGTGGTTGAGCATCAACCTATGAACCAGAAGGTCATGGTTCGACTCCCAGTCAGGACATATGCCCAGGTTGCGGGCTCGATCCCCAATGGAGGCGTGCAGGGGGTAGCAGATCAATGCTTCTCTCTCATCATTGATGTTTCTATCTCTCTTTCCCTCTCTCTTCCTCTCTCTGAAATCAATAAAAATCGTGTGTGTTTTTTTTTAATTCCAAGAACAAACAAAAAAAAGAAAAAAGAAATGAATTAATTTTTAAAAGAAAAAAATCCCGCCGGGACCGGTTTGGCTCAATGGATAGAGCGTCGGCTTGTGGACTGAAGGGCCCCAGGTTCGATTCCGGTCAAGGGCATGTACCTTGGTTGCGGGCATATCCCCAGTAGGGGGTGTGCAAGAGGCAACTGATCAATGACTCTCTCTCATTGATGTTTCGAACTCTCTTTCTCTCTTCCTTCCACTCTGTACAAAAATCAATAAAATATATTTTTTTAAAAAGAAAGAAAGCCCAAGAACAAGGAGATAGTCTCATACCTGATCCGCAGTGAGTAGCGGCTCCTCATTGATCCCAGAATCGTGCTCACTCTTCTCATTGAACTCCTCCTCCTCCTCTTTGTCATGGATCTGAAGGGGGATGGAATTCTGATTGGCCAGCAGCAGAGCTGGGCATTCTCTCTGGTCTCTACAGCGGGGGACACTGCCTGAGGGGCCGCTCCAGCCATCCCCTGGGTAAAGGGGAGTCTGAAGAGGGGTAAGAGTTCCGTCCCTCTCCCACGCGGGTGGTGGGGAAAAGACAATGAGGGGTGAGTGGCAGCACTCTCTGACTCAGAGGGAGTGGCTGTTCTCTGACCCACAGACGGGCCATCCTTGGGTGAACAGGAACCTTCTTCTCAAGGTGAGTGATGCTGCGACCCACGCCTGCAGCAAAGGCCTGCTCGTGTAGAGAAGGAGCTCGGACCCGGGAGTTGGATTCCAGAATTTACTTCGTTGGGCATTTTAAAGGACAGGATTCTCGCCTGGCCAGCATGCCTCAGTGGTTGAGCATCAACCTATGAACCAGAAGGTCACGGTTCGATTCCGGGTTGCAGGCTCGATCCCCAGGGTGGGGCCTGCAGGAGGCAGCGGATCAATGTTTCTCTCTCATCATTGATGTTTCTGTCTCTTTTTCCCTCGCCCTTCCTCTCTCTGAAATCCATAAAACATCTATTATTAAAAACTAATCAAATAAAGGATGGGCTTCTCCAGTCCCAACAGTCATGCTTTTTTTAGGATCGGGTGAAATACCATCCGTTATGGGAATCTAGGCGTGTGTCACAGCTGATGGAGGATGTAGCGATCCGTCTGTGACATGCCCCCGAACAGCCTGACCACGTGAACCAACGGGCAAACCGAACAACAACCAACACCCATCATCTGCCCCACGTCTCCAAGATCCCACCCTCCCTCGTAAGATTCTGAAAGTCCACAACCATCGACATTGGAGACGATGCTGTCCAACCAGGCAGTCGTGGCCTCTCGGGCTTCCTGACCGCGTCCGAGATGGCCATGGCCCGCCGTGTACGTCCACAGCCTGCAGAACGGGAACCACTCAACGCCCAGCCAGCGGCCTCTGTCGGGAAGCCGGACGTGCCAGTCACACGGGAGCTGGCGCGGTGCCTTCGGGAGACCTCTGAGCAGAGGCCCCGCCATCCAGGAGTCACTTCTGCTGGCTCACCAGGGCTTGGCACACCCATCGGCCTCTCTCCCGGGCTGTACCTCCCCGTTCTAACGGCAAACACCCCGGCTCCACCCCAGCCGTCCCGCCAGACGCAGCCTGTCCTTAGAAACCGTTCCCTCTCCCCTGAGCGCCACCTTGGCAGACATCCCTCACACAACACACCCCGTCTGTCTCCATTTACTTAAAACCAGGGCTGTGGCATAAAAAAAAAAAAATTAATCAAGCGGGTATCCGATGCCATCTGCGCTCAGCCTGGCTGAGGGGTAGGGCCGGGAGGGGACGGGGTCGGCGGCGGGGCTGGGCGCCAGATGGTGACATCTCTTTCCGCGGTGGAGCCCAGATGCTCCCGCGCCTGCCAAGTCCGCCACCTGTGGCAGCCACCTGGTGTCCCGGCGCCCCGCCACGCGAACACACCTCCTGGAGCCACGGCTGTTCCCAGCCACGTGCTCTCTCTCTCTCTCTTTTTTTTAACTTTATTGAATTTATTTGTTTTTTAATGCTACAATTTACTTTTTTAAATAATTTTTTTCTGTTCAGATTATTAGAGGTATTCCTCTCCCCGCCCCCCATAGCTCCCCTCCACCTGATTCCCCACCCCATTCCATGCCCTTACCGCCCCCCCCCCACTGTCTTCATCCAAAGGTGTAAGATTTTTGTTCCATCTCTTCCCGCATCCTACCCCACTTCCCCCTGAGAACTGTCAGTCCACTCCCTTTCTATGTCCCGGATTCTATGATAGTCACCAGTCCATTCTGTTCTTCAGATTTTTTTTTTTTTTTTTTTTTTACACTCAATATTTTTTAATTGTTTAAGTGCCATAATACCAGTTACATTTTATTCCCAGAGGTGCTATTTTTTTTTTTTTTTTTTTTTTTTTTTTTAGCAATCTTTATTGTTCATATTATTACAAAGGTTCCTCATTTCTTCCCCCCTCCACCAGGTTCCCACCCCACCCTCCGCCCCCCCCCATCCCCCATTGTCCTCATCCATAGGTGCAGTTTATGTTCAGTCTCTTCTTCCCTCAATTTCCCCAATAGTAAATCCCTTTTCAGATAGTAAATCAGTTACTTAGCATTTTCTCATATCAATAATACCTCCACATGCCCAATGATACACTTCACACAAAAGACATTTCCCACTAGGTCAACCAGCCTCATCCAGGCCCCACCCAAGGCACTCACAGATCAACACCCCAGTCCTAAACTAACTCAACACATCCAGATCTAAGCCTTCATCACTTGATTCAGCAGACACTCAAGTTCCCACGAAAGTTTCCAGCCATGTCTGAGAAGCAGCCGTGGGGCAGGGGCAGGCAAGGAGCGAGCTGTTCTGGGCCTGGCTGCTCAGGGCCTGGCCTCTGTTGCTCTGGTTCATTCCACAACCAGCTGCTCCGGGTCTGGTCACTGCCGCTCCCAACCTAGTTGCTCTGGACTTGGCTGCTGCTGCTCCGGGCCTGGCCGCTCCCAGCCTGGCAGCCGCTGCTCCGGGCCTGGCCGCACCCGACCCGCCTGCTCCCCCGGGCCTGGCCGCTCCCAGCCTGGCAGCCGCTGCTCCGGGCCTGGCCGCACCCGACCCGGCTGCTCCCCCGGGCCTGGCCGCTCCCAGCCTGGCAGCCGCTGCTCCGGGCCTGGCCGCACCCGACCCGGCTGCTCCCCCGGGCCTGGCCGCTCCCAGCCTGGCAGCCGCTGCTCCGGGCCTGGCCGCACCAGCCCCGCCTGCTCCCCCGGGCCTGGCCGCTCCCAGCCTGGCAGCCGCTGCTCCGGGCCTGGCCGCACCAGCCCCGCCTGCTCCCCCGGGCCTGGCCGCTCCCAACCTGGCAGCCGCTGCTCCGGGCCTGGCCGCACCAGCCCCGCCTGCTCCCCCGGGCCTGGCCGCTCCCAGCCTGGCAGCCGCTGCTCCGGGCCTGGCCGCACCAGCCCCGCCTGCTCCCCCGGGCCTGGCCGCTCCCAGCCTGGCAGCCGCTGCTCCGGGCCTGGCCGCACCCGACCCGGCTGCTCCCCCGGGCCTGGCCGCTCCCAGCCTGGCAGCCGCTGCTCCGGGCCTGGCCGCACCCGACCCGGCTGCTCCCCCGGGCCTGGCCGCTCCCAGCCTGGCAGCCGCTGCTCCGGGCCTGGCCGCACCAGCCCCGCCTGCTCCCCCGGGCCTGGCCGCTCCCAGCCTGGCAGCCGCTGCTCCGGGCCTGGCCGCACCAGCCCCGCCTGCTCCCCCGGGCCTGGCCGCTCCCAGCCTGGCAGCCGCTGCTCCGGGCCTGGCCGCACCAGCCCCGCCTGCTCCCCTGGGCCTGGCCGCTCCCAGCCTGGCAGCCGCTGCTCCGGGCCTGGCCGCACCAGCCCCGCCTGCTCCCCCGGGCCTGGCCGCTCCCAGCCTGGCAGCCGCTGCTCCGGGCCTGGCCGCACCCGACCCGGCTGCTCCCCCGGGCCTGGCCGCTCCCAGCCTGGCAGCCGCTGCTCCGGGCCTGGCCGCACCCGACCCGGCTGCTCCCCCGGGCCTGGCCGCTCCCAGCCTGGCAGCCGCTGCTCCGGGCCTGGCCGCACCCGACCCGGCTGCTCCCCCGGGCCTGGCCGCTCCCAGCCTGGCAGCCGCTGCTCCGGGCCTGGCCGCACCCGACCCGGCTGCTCCCCCGGGCCTGGCCGCTCCCAGCCTGGCAGCCGCTGCTCCGGGCCTGGCCGCACCAGCCCCGCCTGCTCCCCCGGGCCTGGCCGCTCCCAGCCTGGCAGCCGCTGCTCCGGGCCTGGCCGCACCAGCCCCGCCTGCTCCCCCGGGCCTGGCCGCTCCCAGCCTGGCAGCCGCTGCTCCGGGCCTGGCCGCACCAGCCCCGCCTGCTCCCCCGGGCCTGGCCGCTCCCAGCCTGGCAGCCGCTGCTCCGGGCCTGGCCGCACCCGACCCGGCTGCTCCCCCGGGCCTGGCCGCTCCCAGCCTGGCAGCCGCTGCTCCGGGCCTGGCCGCACCTGACCCGCCTGCTCCCCCGGGCCTGGCCGCTCCCAGCCTGGCAGCCGCTGCTCCGGGCCTGGCCGCACCCGACCCGCCTGCTCCCCCGGGCCTGGCCGCTCCCAGCCTGGCAGCCGCTGCTCCGGGCCTGGCCGCACCAGCCCCGCCTGCTCCCCCGGGCCTGGTCGCTCCCAGCCTGGCAGCCGCTGCTCCGGGCCTGGCCGCACCCGACCCGCCTGCTCCCCCGGGCCTGGCCGCTCCCAGCCTGGCAGCCGCTGCTCCGGGCCTGGCCGCACCCGACCCGACTGCTCCCCCGGGCCTGGCCGCTCCCAGCCTGGCAGCTGCTGCTCCGGGCCTGGCCGCACCTGACCCGGCTGCTCTGGGCCCGGCTGCCCCGGGCCCGGCCGCTCCGAGCCTGGCCACTCCCGACCTGGATGCTCTGGGCTTGGCTACTGCTGTTCTGGGTCTGGCTGCTCCCACCCCGGCTGCTCTGGGCCCGGCTTCTTCGGGCCCGGCCACTCCGGGTCTGGGTGTTCTTGGACTGGCCACCCTGGGCTTGGCCGCCTCCGCCTCATGCCTGGCTGCCACTGCCCCAGGTCTGGCTACTCCAGTGCTGGCTGTTGATGCTCTGGTTCTGGCTGCTGTTGTTCTGGGGCCTGGCCGTTGCTGCTCCGGGTCTGGCTGCCACTGCCTTGTGCCTGGCCACTCTAGGCCTGGCCGTCGCTGTTCCAACATTCTGTCCTTTTTTTTTCTTTTTTAAAACGCATTTATGTTGCAATGTTGGCTGGTGAGTTGAGTTCTGACTTAGTCTTTGATTTTTCAAGATCTTCTTTGTATTCTTTCTTAAGTAATTTTACTATTTTTTGCTCTCACTTGATTTCTTCACATTGAGAACTTCTTTGGTTTCTTCCTCCTTGTCCTGGGAGCTCAGCAGGTTGGCCTGTGGCACCCCTTTGTTCTCCGCGGGCTCCTGTGCTGC